AAGGAGTTAAAGAGGACCGCCCAGCATCACCAGATGGCAAGTCAGGCACTAAAAAAAGAACTCAAAGAAATGCACAGATTGTGAATATTTACCTCTGTCCCCAAATACTGACCACGCTCCAGCTGCATAGATGCTGCTGCTTAAAACCCTGGATGAACTTGACCGTTCTTTCCTAGGCATTTGCCAAAAAGTTGATCTCTTTTGTTTACACAGCTCCATATTATAACTGTAGAAAAACATGTTGTCCTCCATTTCCATGTTAAAGGCAACAGACAACTGAAAAATATGGCACTCTGCTGAGAAATTTATGAAAGGCCCTATAATGCCATTTCTGCTCACCTGAAACGCAGAAACAGCATGCTGTGTTCATGTGCTTATCGCGTGGTTGTGTGTCACCCCTTGGAAAGCTGCCAGAGTAATTAGAAAATTTGCGGGGAGTTTTATTTAAATTCCCTTTGCATACCTGTTGCAGAAAAGAAGTCATCAGACCATTATTCTAATGCACCCCAGCCCCCACCTGTTCCGAAGGGCAACTTCCCTTTATCGCCTGAGAGGTTTTTGAGAGGTAGGCCCAGGAGGAAGCTGCTGGCCACCCCAGTGCTGCAGCGGCAGCGCTTCCCCCTGTAGAGGAAGTGAGAGCCCCTGAGGTTTGGTTTCCAGGGGCAACTTTGCAAATATGTCTGTTTCCTCGATGACAGGCAGCACTTGCAATGAGGCTGTTAAACAGCTAGAGCAGGCATCAAGTGGAGAGAGGCAGCAGTGTCTTATGGGGCCCAGAGGACCTGATTTAGTATAGACAAAAGTGGACATGGAGCCGGAGCAGTTCATCATGGCTAAGGGGCCCAGAAATCTATCTTGCTGAAACCTCTACTTGGTCTTTGCTGTGAAGTGGCAGAATGTGTTCATAATCCGTTCTCCTTGCTGGATGAAACGGTGATGGACACCGAGCTGAAAATCACTGCCTTGAAGCAAATTTTGGAGAGAGAGCCTTCAAATTCTTGTGCTCGAGAAATGAAGTGTCTGGGTGAGGCAAAGTGATATGGCACACCCTTGTGCATCCTGCAGAGTAGGACTTTGTAAGACATCTGTCCACTCCGGGGCCCGTAACTCAGGGAAGTCTAGAACACCTGGCTTCAAGAGTCCTTCATTCCTCCTCTCCAGCTCCATTTTAAATAAAGTGGTTTCATTCACCTTAGACTTTTTTTAAAGGTTTTATTTATTTATTTATTTATTTATTTATTTATTTTTAGAAAGAGAGGAAGGGAGGGAGAAAGAGAGAGAAACATCGATGTGTAAGAGAAACAAGTGGTTGCTTCTGGTCCGCCCCCAGCTGGGGACCTGGCACACAACCCAGGCACATGCCCTACCTTGCAGCTCACAGGCCAGCACGCAGTCCACTGAGCCACACCAGCCAGGGCTGTTTCATTCATTTTAGACACACATAAATGTCTTTAACCATTGAAGACTTTTGAGCAGAAATTCTCCAGGCTCTATTTTAAGACTAGTTGCCATTCATTCATTCCACACGTATTTATTAAAGTCCTACTATTTGCCATTCTGAGATGCAGCAGGAAACCTAACAACAGCTCTGCCTTCCTGGAATTGAAATTCCAGTAAGGGGACAGATAACGAACACATGGACACACAGCTGTATGCAGAACGTCAGGGTGCTGAGGAGGAGCATAAAGCAGGGCAAGGTGTGGGCAGAGTAACAAGAGGTGCTCCTTATGGGTCAACCAGCGTAGGGCTCTCTGGGAGAGTGACTTCTGAGCAGAGAGCTAAAATGAGGGAGCCAGACAGGCTGACCCCTGGGGGAAGAGCATTCCTGGCGGAAGGAACAGCCAGCAGAAGGGCCCAGAGGAAGACCTATTCTTGGGGAGCTCAGAGAGTATCCAGGACACCCATGTAGCAAGATGCCTGTTCTCAATAAAGGTCTCAGCTTTGACTCCTTCCTTTACTTCAACCTTGCACCTCATCTATCAAATCCTGTCAGTGCTCTTCCAAAATCTCTTGTGAACTCATCCACACCTTCTCTGTCCTGGCCCACCCTAACCGGAGCCCCTGCCATCTCTTCTTGCCTGTAAGAGTCTTCCAACCCACCTCCCATACATTTCAATCACATTTCTCCTCTGCTTAAAATTCTTCAAGAACTTTTCATTGGCCTTTGAAAATAGTCTACCCTTCTGACCATGGCCTTCAGGATCTGGGCCTTGCCTCCCTCTCCGGCTGCATTTCCTGACAAGCAAGGCTTCAGCCAAAAAGTCAATGTAGTAGTTGCTTGGGCTGTCATAACAGAGTATACACACCTGACAATGAAACTTCCCCTCTCAGAGTTCTGGGGGCTAGAAGTCTGAAGTTAAGGTGTTGGCAAGGTGGTTCCTCCTGAGGGCCATGAGGGAAGGACCTGGTGCAGGCCTCTCTCCTTGGCCAATGGATGCAGCCAGGGACAGGAGCTAGGAGAGCCAGGCTCTGCCACTGCCACCTCTGGGTGACTTTGGCTAGGTCAGTTAAATACTCAGGTCTCAGCCTCCTCATCTGTAAAGTGGGCTTGAATTAAACGGTCTCCTGAAGTCTCTTCAGGCTCTGAAATTCAGTTCATGGTGTTCTGTGCATCTTGCAGAAAATGCTTTTCAGAAGCTGCATTTACTGCCCTCGAAGGTATCACCAGACCTTCAGAGAACACATTTCCTGAAAGAGCTCCAATGCAAACATGCCCCAGGGCATCCCCAACCCGAGACTTGCAGGCGTGCCCCAGGTGTGAAATGTCTGTGAGCTCTTGTTTATTATCATAAAGGTAACTTGGCGTTGCACTCCATGTATATGTCCGTACTCATGTTAACATAAAAATAGTGTTCTAAACTACTTGCCTTAGATGTTCGTTGACAAATCTAGACTTGAAGGTAGACAGAGAGCCTTGTCTTTTGATCTTGAACTATAGCCACGCCCTAACCCTGGGTGATAACAGGAAATGTCTGATTTCTTTTCTGTAGGTTTGATTTCTTCCTTTATGCACATACATTAATGTAATACTAAAGAAAAGTAAACAACTTTGTAAAATATGTAAAATGACAAGAGTCTGACCTGCCACATCTAGGTTTTAAGGAGAGAAGGACTTTCCTTCATGAGTGGGAACACTGACGGTGTTCCCTTGTAGGTGCCTGATCTAATATATGTGAGTGCTTTATACATAGTCATCACATGAGAAATATGTGCAATGGATTGAATAAAAGTAATAAGACAATGATGATGATGATGACCAGCTGCTACATGTTTTCCCGTGTGCTAATGTTCTAAAATCTTTATAGGCATCATCCTATTTAATCCTCATAAAACCCTTGGAGACTGGTCTCATTATTACCCTCATTTACAGACAAGGAAACTGAAACACGGAAAAGTTAAGTGCCTCCTGAGCAGAACGTCTTTTCTGCTCTTTTATCTTCTCGGCACAGCACTCAGACCCGGCGGTGGCACTGCTGCAGTGCGGCCGTGTCGCGTCAGCAGTTCCTTATCTCTTGCTTCTGCACTGGGGCTTCTCGGCCACCCATCTGGCACCTACACGGATCTCAGAGTGCAAGGACAGTCTCCAAGGCAACCCTGGACTAAGGAGTCAGGGGATACGACAGTCATCGCTCCCTGCCCAAGGGTCACTTAGTAGCCATCAGAGTTATATCAGAGCAGTTATTAGAGAGAGAGAGAGACCACAGTCATGTAGAATAGAATAATTATTCTATTCTATTCTATTTTATTATTAGTTATTATTAATCTGCTACTGTGCCTAATTTATGAATTAAATGTTATAGTCATGTGTGCATGTATGTATACTTAGGAAAAAATAGTATGCACAGGGGCAGGCGAAAGTAGGTTTATAGTCATTCATATGGAAAATAATGTAATAATATATAATAATACAAGAATAAACTCTGTGTTTTGCATACTCACAACTTAAACCTACTTTTGCCCCACCCTACATGGGGTTCAGTACTGTCTGTGGTTTCAGGAATCCACTGGGGTCCTGGGATGTACCCCCCGTGGATAAGGGGGGGTGACTGGACTGAGGTAATGAATGGAGAACAGGGTAGCAAACTGATCTATGCCAATTTATGCTCACAGGACCCCCAAGTGCCTTTAGCTGACGGTGGTAGCCACCAACATACCTGAAATGGCCGTGGATTAACTGCTCTCCCACGGCCTCCCCATTAAGTTATCACAAAAGCCAGTCTCAGACCCAAATCTGCCACACCTGAAGGCTTGTTAAATAAGCATTCATTAGCAGGCAGGCGTAAGACAGCCGATGCAGCTTGCTCTGAAAGTGCCAAGTCCTAGCTCCCTGCCCACTTAGGTACTATCACTGCTCCCCAAATGAAGGTCACTGGAGGAGGGTGGGAGAACATTCTAGATAGTGGGTCTCAAACTTCATCAGGCATCAGAATCTCCAGGTAGGTTTGTTAAGGCACAGATGTCATGTCCCGCCCCCGGAGCTTCTGCGTCTGTGGGTGCCACTCCTTGAGATCAGTGACCTAGGGGCAGGTTTTGTTTTTCTTTCTGAAACTGGCATCAGGCAACCAGCAATTTGCTAACCAATGGCTGGGCCCAGGTCCATTTGGAGAGTTAGTCTAGAATCTAGAGTGCCAACCCTTGGAGTATAGATGGCAGAATGTTCTAGATTCCCTTACCTAAAAGGCATAAGAGCAGAGACTGTCTCTAAAAGGTTTTAGAGAATACCATTAATGTCATCAATGAAATTAGCAAAGCCGGTGGCATTGCTCAATCTCTGGGTAACTGACGTGCCCTGGGATGGCTGAAGTGTGGCCTCACTGATCCGGTGGTAACTGACTACCCCATCGTGTGGATCCTGGATAGGACACCTGGGATAGAACTTAAATTAGCATGTATGCCTGATATCACCTGTCCAAGCTGAACATTTTAGAGCACATTACAGGTCGCATTAATGGAAAGGGAAATTAATTAACAAATCAATGGGCATTTCTTTGATCCCGTAGACCGAGCCCGAAATCATAGAGGAAACCAACATCGACCGGGTCAATGAGCCCCGGGGCTACGCCAGGTCAAGGCAAGTGAAAGGCCACTCTGAGACCTCCACACTGAGCTCCCAGCCCTCCATCGACGAGGTCAGGCAGCAGATGCACATGCTGCTGGAAGAGGCCTTCAGCCTGGCGTCCGCGGGCCACGCGGGCCAAAGCCGGCACCAGGAGGCCTACGGCTCAACACAGCACCTGCCCTACTCCGAGGTGGTGACCAGCGCTCCGGGGACCATGACACGGCCCAGGGCTGGGGTGCAGTGGGTGCCCACCTACCGCCCAGAAATGTACCAGTACAGTCTGCCCCGGCCGGTAAGTCAGAATCCTGCCTGCCCGCTATTATCAGGTCAGTCCTGCCCGGGGTCTTCTAACAGGGGTCTCAGAGAGGGGACTTCTAGTGAGAAGTCACCTTGGGACTTGGAGACGGAACTTGGCTGGGCTCTCATCCCATCCCCTACCCATGTTCCAGGCCTTAGCCTTGTTGTAGTCCTGTGGGCACAGGCATGCAGGAAGCCCTTGTGTAATACATTTCAGGATAAATTTCCTTTCCTATCTGCCCTCCTGTGAAGGGCTGACCTCATTCTTCATGCACTGGTGGTTTCCTACATTTCCAAGTGTGAGGACCTGTTTTAAATGTCAAAATGCATCGCAAAGCTAGTGGTTCAGAGCAGGTGCCCTGGGAGTGGGTGGCTTGACTTTGAGTCCCAGCTCTGCCGTTCACTGGCTCTGTCACTTAGGAGTGTGACTTAAATTCTCTACAGATGAAATCAACAAACAAAAATAACCTACTTCCTAGGGTTATTGTAAAGATTAAACGAGTTGATATATATGTGAAGTACTAGAATGCCAAGCACACAGTAAATGCCATAGAAGCATTGGTCACGATTATTTCATTTAGTGGCAACTGCATGCCCTTCAGTATTGAGAAAGCACCCAATGACAAAAAGCTTCCATGATTTAAACAACAATTTTAAAGGACAGACTTAGTATTATAAGCCATAGACCGTAATTGATGTGATCACCGACCAGCAGTGACCACGGAACGCTGCAGATGGCTCGTCAACACGCGAGAAAAACATACACAGAGACAACCAGGTCCTGTGGGGAAGTAGGAACAGAATGGCCACTCTCTTTAGTGGGGAGCGTCCTGTTCTTCCACCCACAGGCTTTTATTGGGTTCGTTTGCATAAGAATTCGGGTAAAGCTCATTACTCATTGCCGGGAAGTAAGGATCAAACAATAGATAACAAGGAAGTCTGAGGGCCTATTTTGAGTCAGAGTCAAAGAGCTGTAAAACTTTGAGGAACAAACTTACTTCTTCCTTGGACCCTTATCATTCAACTGAGAGCATTCTAAACAAAGAAGGTTTCACAGGATTTTACATATTCTTTCTTAGGCCTGATCACCTGGGGAACCCGCCCTTTTCAGCACAGAGCTGCACCACCCTGCCATTGTTTCAGGCTTAGGCGTAGCAAGGGAAGTAAGGCAGCCAAGAGATTAGGAGATTTTCTCACAGACAATGAGGACTCAGGCTATGTCAAAGCCGAGGGGTGAGGGTCCATCACCCCCTTTTGCTGTAGCCCCCAAAGTCCTTCCTTGGGGGCCTCCCATGTGACCGTGCCTGTCTTAGATCATTCCCCCCTTGGGGAATCTTACCGGTCATTGGCTAACCGACCAAGCATTGCGGGCCAGTCAGGGTGAAGTAGCAGAAGCAGCGCTCCTGCCAGGGAGATAAGCTTTTGTCTCCTTGGTGGCTTACGGTTCCAAGGTCGTTCCCTCAGCCTTAGCCTTGGCGGGGTTTACAGCTTCTGATACCAGGCAGGGCGGTTCCCAACACGTAATGACAATGCTTTGTACCTGTACATATCCACCCCCCCACCTTGTACTGTGTTGTAGCCTTCACCAAGGGTTACTCATTAATGCATTTTATAAATTGTCATTATGATAAGTAATTACTTAATAAAAACTACCATTGATTGTGTCTCTGTTACTAGGTACTGCTCTAGGTGTCCTGTGTATGTTAATTCCTTTATTTTGTTCTCACTATAAGCCTCTGACACAAGTGCTAGTTTTATCCCCCCCCCATTTTACAGATGAGGAAGCTGAGGTTACACAGCTTGTTCAAGTCACACAGCCAGAAAGGGGAAGAGCTGGGGCCCCAGGCCAGGCAGTCTGGTGCCGGAGCCCATACTCTTAACCAGCGAGCTTTTCTGCTTTCTACTGATTCCGTTGTGATCCATCTTACCTGGGACAGCTGTGGGCTTGTGGATCCTTGTGATAACATCAAACCACCTTATTACACCTGCCCAAAGTCCACACTATGCTGGCAGTTAATGAGCAGGTGGTGTGCTGTGTAACTACGTGGTCTGCACCCTGTTGGGAATTTCCTTATTCTCCTTTGTTCCAGTTCCGCCTCCTCACTCCCAGGTCACCGAGGTGTCTTCCCTTGGCACTGCTCCAGATGCCCTCTGTCTCTCTCTCTGTCATGCCCTCCCTTAGAATGTTATCCTCTAGCCTAATCTTTTCATGTTGAGTAAGCTTTAGCAGGAAAGACCACAGTTTATTTGAAACTGAACCTCTGGGGCAGGGGGGGCTAGGTTTGGGTGGGGACCGGTCTTGAGGTCAACAGGTACGCAGTTTCTGCTTTGTCCATTCGCTCCAGAGTGCTCAGATCCTGGGACTCGGACTCATGCTGACCAGGCTCAGAACACCTGCTTTGTTATTGAGAATACTAACTCACAAACCTGCAGTGAGAACCTGGATGGGCCAGAATACTTGTTTGCTGGTCAGCAGGGTCTTTCATTAAGTAAAAGCCAATTTGGGGAAAGTGAGACATTACCAGGAGAACGGGTTGGTCTTGAAGTCATCTTCTCAGTCTGTGATATGCAAATCCAGAGAGTACAGCCAATAAAAGAAATGGGACGAACACGGAACATCTTTTTCCATCCTGTTTCCTGAGATGTGGGTGGAATGATGTGAAACTCTTAATATCATTTTGAAGCTCAAACAGAAGGCTTTAGGGCAGGGGTGTCCAACTCATTTTCACCAGGGGCCACATCAGCCTCGGGGTTGCCTTCAAAGGGTCGAATGTAATTTCAACTCTTTAACAGTTGAGGAGTAGTTACATTTATACAGTCCTAAAATTATTTCAGCCCTTTGAAGGCAACCGTGAGGCTGCTGTGGCCCCCGGTGAAAATGAGTTGGACACCCCAGCTCTAGGGCAATGCCCAGATCTCAGGAATCCGCCTTTGCCTCTGCTGTCAGGGACTGGGCTGGGCAGGTTCAAGAAGCACGGCCTCCCAGAAGAGCATCAGCATCCAGGGCCGCCACAGCCACGGCGCTCCCGTCAGTCTGGGGTCCAAGTCCTTTCTTCAGAAAATTAAACAGATTTCCACTGACCCTTACAAACCTATCACCGTACTACACTGTTCCATGGCAGTCACATGACAGTTTTCTAATTGCCCATTAAATTAGTACCCACTTTTAGGGGGGAAGGAAGGGTTTTCTCACTGAGATTTTAGAAAACACTCTAATCTTCTCACATACAGGGTAGGGCAAAAAGAAGTTTACAGTTGTGAGTACTCGAAACAGAGTTTATTCTTGTTATCATTTATTAAGTATTGTATTGTCTTTCTGAATGAACAAACTGTAAACCGCCGATTGTGAGAGGTCAGAAGAGAGAAGAGAAACTCAATCCCTTTCTTTGTTTGGGGAAAGGTATGTCCTTATTTGTTGGTTTGTTGATAAAGGAATGCAAAGCTGGAAGGATGTCCAGGACAATGATTTTTAAATTCTCAGCAAAACCTGAGGGTTCAGAGTGTTGTCATGCAGGTAATGAAGGGGCCAAATTCACCAGAGCACCACACCCCCCCACCACCACCACACACACACCTCCGTGAACTGAAATAAAACCATAAATTGAAACCAGAGGTGGCAATAGTGAGTAGCAAGCAAATATGAAAGGTAGAACGGAACCTTTGAAATTTCCCTTACATCTTGCAAATCCCACTGTGCTTAAAAGGTATGTTTTATCCAGGACCTTGTTGTTATTTAGTGGGCTGGCCCTTACAAGGATGCCGTCTGCCGTAATGCCAAAGGGAGAAGACTCATTCAGTCTAAAGCATCCTATTTATAGATTCCCTCCACTGCTGCTTTTTGTCCAGATACCTTTGGTTTTAGTCTTGTCATCTTGTTCCCCAAGAGGGCTGGCAGGCCATGGCACCTAAAGAAAAGGATGAATGAGAAGCACAAGTTAGGCTTTGTCTTCCCAGAGAGCATTTCCGGATTTTCTCATGCTAGGAAGGCTGTGGCCTGGCTCTCTGATCCTGTCCGTCACTGACCGTTGTCCTCTTACCCCTTCAAGTGTTGATGAAAGGCTTCATTTTCAAGACAGTTCCAATCCTTTATCTTTGAATGGTGTTTTGTAGATTGCAAAATACTTACACATGCACTGACTTGCCTCATCTTCCTAGTGCCCCTCTGAGCAAGCGTCTTTGCTCCATTTCAGAGAAGGACACTGAGGCCCAGAGAGGTCACCTGACGTGCTTAGAGACATAAGGTCTATTCATCAGCAAAGCAGGCCCTCCACCCATACCTCCTGATTCCAAACCCACTGCTTTCCCCCATTAAACCTTATTTCCATGAGTGAGAAAGTCCAACGCAATCAGTGGCTCATTTAGTCATTCATTCACTCATCTAATATTTACTGATCATCTTTGATACAGCAGGCATTGTTCCAGGAGTGAGGATACGGCTGGCAACAAAGTCCCTGCCCTCATTACAGTCTAGGCAGTGGCAGATAATAAATGAACAGGCGCCGTTAAAAGCACACCAGGGAGAAGGAGCAGCATGTACAAAAGCCCAGGCAGAAAAGAACTCGGCATAGTTGATTGCCAAGAACACCTTGGCAAAGAACGATTGAAGGGCTCCGTGGCTACAGTGGCCTGAGCAAAGGCGAGAGTGGTAGGAGATGAGATAGAAGAGGGGGCTGGGGAACATGGTAAGGAAGATCGGGGGAAAACTCTGAGGAAGGAAGGAAAGCCTGCCCCTTGGAAATTTGCTTCCCTTGTAAAATAACAACGTGTGTGTTGATCGACTCTGGATTTTTAACACATCTCCCTCTACTTGCTTGTCTCTTTCACAGGCCTACAGGTTTTCCCAGCTTCCTGAAATGGTCATGGGCTCTCCCCCTCCACCTGTACCTCCCCGGACCGGCCCTGTGGCTGTTGCTTCTCTCAGGCGGTAACACAGTCCTTTCTTTGTTTAGAATATTTGGAAACGATTTGGTCCTGTGTACCCCGACCAGACACACTTCCTCCACACTGTGCCCCATTCTGGACGCACCACCTGCGCAGACAACCATGTGCCTGGGGCGCCCCGAGTGCCGTGAAGGGAGTGGGGGCCATAGAGGGCTTGCCGGCTTTTTGTCATCGTAAATAGAAAGTCCCGTGGAACCCATAGTTGAAGAAACCCGGTGTCAACCACCCCATACATGGAAAGCCCCATCTTTGACCTTGAACATCTAAAAATTACTCCAGCTTGGGCCACCACAATGGCTGCCTCAAGCCTGGGCACCTCCTGTCATGTGTGCACATGCAGAAGTCCCTTTGTTATTAGGAGTGGTGTCCAGGAGGCCAGGGAGCCGCCTGTCTCAGCAGCCACCCCAACTCAGGACTTCCAAAAGGGAGAGGCTGAAAGCACATGAACTCAGATGTGCCCAGCATTCTCCTTGCTCTATAATATAAAAAGCACGTGTTTTTAATAAAGATAGACAAACAACGCAAAGGCCATGAGCCCTGGGAGAGATTGAAATAGTCATCTTGTGTAGGGCTGGGAGGCACATCTGGTCCCAGGGGGTACATACAGGCCACTGCCCTTGCCTTCGTACCCTCACCTGCCCCTGTCACACTGGTCACACCAGTCACACCCTCTCTGTGAACCACCGGTTTGCATTTGTAAAAACAGGGAAGAGAAACAACTTTCCCTCAGTGACAACCCTGCCCTCGTTTGCAGCAGTCTAGAACGCCCAGCTGTGCGCACACACCACTCACCGCTTGGCCCCAGCTGAGCTCAGAGTGGGCTGAGAAGCAGAAGACCAGGGTTCCAACTAACTTGCCAGTAACTTGCCAGTAACTGGATCTGTAACGCCAAGTTGCTCACCCGTCTGGTTCCTGGCTCCTTATCTGTGAAATAAGAGCAATAACCTAAACGATCTCAGAGGTTCCGGGAACCCTCAAAGGGGACTGAGTGTACAATGCAGAACCCAGGGATTCTCCTGGGAAGGGTTTTTTGGATGGGTAGCAGATGCTGGGAACAGTAGGAGGGAAGCCAGGGCTGTGGGAATGAGCAGGCCAGAGAAGAAGGGAGGGATTGAGAAAGAAAGGGAGACACACCCCTTATTGCTGAGCCTCCAGTGCGTGCCCACCCAGATACAGCTACATCATCACAGCCTCTGTGTTTAACCCTCCCAGGGGAATAGCACAGGGCTTCTCAGTTACTCCCGAGAGTTCGGGCTGGGAGGAGCTCCACACCCACCATTTGTGGTAGCTTTGCCCCAGCGAGGCCAGGGTCTATTTCATTTCTTCTCCCAACCACCAGTCTCCTCCCACCCCGTGCACCCTCTGCCATCCTCGCCAGGTATCAGGAGGTCACTGCCCTCTCCACAAACCCCTCTGCTTCACAGAGATTCACACTTCTGCTTTGAGGCTGCAACCCCCCCACCCCGCCCCCGTGGCTGGCAGCCTGCCACCTGCTGCCTTTGCCTCCCTGCCGTTCTAATGTTAGGGCAGCCTGGAGTCTCTCTGTGAAAGGGACGACGGAGTCTGTGGCTAAAGCACCCTTTACAATAAGGGAAGAGGCAGCCCATGGAGCCCAGGCTGCCCTCTTCTTCCATGGCTTTCTGAGCACTAAGTGGAAATACGGGCGTGTTAAACGGGCCAGATTCTCTGCTTGTCTGGGACCAAAAAAAAAAAAAGGAAAAAATGTGTTCTTATTCATAACGCTCAGGAAATGTTAAAGTGCTAGTAGGCTCCTGTGCTTGGAGCTCCCTAGACTCCTCGCTCCCACACCCCGACCCGGCCCTCATCCACAAGTCCCAGTGTTGGTGTCCGGAGGGGGGAAGGGTCCTCCCACTCCAGATGGAACCTTCTCATTGGCTGCCGATGATGTCATCACCTCCCAGGTCGACCATCCCCCAGCTAATACCCAGCGCTAATTGCTCGGCTTAATTTTTCTGTGTAAATTAAATATGATCCTCCCTGAAGACACAAAGCCACCCTCAGGGAGGCACCGACCTTGAATATCAAAGAATACACCCCCCTCGGTGATGATTGTTACCGGTCTGGGTGCACTGGCCCCCTTTGTTATCCGGGAGCAAATCCAGACCGGAGGACCCCACCCTCCAGGGGCTTGGAGGCTGCTGCGGCTCTCCGAGGTGACGGCCCTGCCCCGGGGAAGCGGCTAACGTAGCCCTCTGCCTGCCCAGGTCCACCTCGGACGTCGGCAGCAAGACCAGGATGGCTGAGTCCTCCGGACCGGAGCCCACCCAGCTACACGACAGCCCCTCCTTCGCTCACGTGTCCAGAGGCCCTGTGTCCGTGGCGCAGTTGGATCAGTCGGCGTTAAATTACTCAGGTGGGCGAGAGGAGAAAAGGCCCGGCCCCAACCGCGCCTCCGTGAATCCACACTCCACCTGCCGCCCTCAGGACTCCAAGCGACTGCATTTCTGGAGAGCTCCTGCTTTTACTTCTTAAAAAGATCTGAAACGTGACAAAATATTGATATGTTACAGTCAGGGTATATGTTAACATTTTGCCAGATTTTAGGAGCTTTTTAATTGTATATTTTTTAGAGCATTGTAGATACAACCATCCACCCCCATCTCGCTCCCCTTCTCCCCAGAGGTAAGCACAGTCCGTGAGCCCTGGGCGTGAACCTTTTCCCGCATATGCATGTCTACATGACAGTACCCACCAGTGGTCTGCAGCCTTTCCCATCTTGTGGCGCCCATGAACTACTTGCTAACGTTCTGCAGCACACCAGAAAATAGATTTTTTTGCTGATCAGGCAAAAAAAAAATAGGCATAATTTTGATTTATTTACACCAGATGGCTATTGTTCTGTTTAGCTGTTGTCATTTTTTTATTTGACAATCCAAGCGAAAAAAAGAGATTAGTGCTCCTAACTAGATAATCAGGTATTGCATGTTTTGAAAACTCTTGGGGCACATCCGTTGAAAATCACCGGTATATGTTAATGCTTTACATACTTTACATCTACATAACTGATATCTAGCTGTACATTTCCTTTTGCACTGCATTTTTTTGACTCAACATTGTTTTTAAGATTTCTCCGGGTTGCTGGATGCAGATAGGTCTGGTTCCCCCACTGAAACTGCCACGCAGTGTTATTCTACTACATGATGTGCCTCGGTTTATCCTTTCCCCTAGTGAGGGACGTACTGGTTGTTTCCAATTTTTTATTATTACAAACAATGCTGAAATGAACATGGAGGTCTGTACATGCCCTGATTGGTCTTTTACCTTGCCTTTTAAGCTGAAACTGCAAGCACCGGTTGGAAGTGTCACCAGTGGAATCTATTCCTCTTGGTCCCCTTTCTCGGCTCATTAGAAAAAGCCACCCTCCTAGGAGGAAGGCACCTGGACACAGAGGTGTCCTTTCCTTTTGTCAGCAGCCCTGAACTGTTGGGATGGGAGGGGGGACTTGGTGAGGGCCCAGTTAGGGGAGCTCAGCGATTCTTTCTCTAGAACCACAGGTCTGAGGCATAGCAGTTCGTGCCGTTCGTACTGACTGGGCAGGTGAACAAGGCTGGGACTACAGGTGGAGGCTGCTGCCCCCCCATTACCAACTCCCCCGATTCCAGAGTTTCTGTCCCCCCTCACCTTGCCCACCGCCGGTTTCTTAGCTTCCCCAGCTTGTGCAAATGTCAGCTGAGTGGGTGGGCTGTAGCCTAATCTCTCCCATCCATCTCCTCCACGCCAGGTAATACGGTGCCGGCAGTGTTTGCCATCCCAGCTGCCAACAGACCGGGCTTCACCGGCTACTTCATCCCGACGCCTCCCTCGTCCTACAGGAGCCAGGCCTGGATGTCCTACTCGGGGGAGAACGAGCTCCCGAGCCAGTGGGCCGATTCGGTGAGAGCCTTGCTGGACACTCTGCAGGGGGGCAGGGGACGAGAGGCCGAGACTGAGCATTTTGTTATCTCAGCCCGCCTTTCACCAACCAGATGGCTGACGTCAGCCATCGGAAAGGGGACGAGTGAGGGGACAGGTGAGATGGGCTGTTCTTTGACAGAGGAACTGGAGACCTGCCAGGTTCTACCTCTCCTAGCAGGGCAACCTTAATCTAACAAATGTTTATAATAACTACCATTTGAGGGATGTTTTCTATGTGCGAGACACCGTGTCAGTTATTTTATTTATATGATCTTACTTAATCTTCACAACCATTCTATCAAATCAGGTCGATATTATTGTTCCCGTGACGTGTCTCATTTTGCTAATGAGGACACTGAGGCCTAATCTAAAGCCGCACAGCTTTTGTACGGGGCTAGGGCCAAATTCCAAACCTCGTCTGTCTGGCTGAAAAGCCTTTATAAATTTGTTCCTTTTAGCTTTAAAATTCCATACATATTTTAGATGAAATCCCAGGAAAATGAAGTGTTAGAGACTCAAGACCGAATTGTGTTGCATGGACCCCCCAAGGCTTTCTGCCTGACTTTCAGCTGAAGACTGGCTGCCGTCATCCCCTGGTTTCTGCCGTCATTGCAGTAGGACCACGTGGCCCAGTGGGCCTGGCCCCGCCGGAATACGGAGGGGAGCAACCCTACATATGAACCTGGGGGTCCACACCCCAGCCTGCCTCCGAGCTGCCTGTCATGGGCTACTAAGTGAGAGCTAACAAACAAACCAATCATGAACAAAACAGCACACCGATGGCCCCTAAAGCGGGTTGCCCCAGTCCCTGTGGGGGATCAGCCAGTGTGGGTAAGAGAGGCAGGCTGTCTCTCCAGGCTGAACCGGGGGTCCCCCAGGACTGCGTGTCATGTTAGGGTTTGGTCTCAGCATCTGAAGTCCATTCTAGATTTAGGAGAAGTGTTGGCACCCAAGGCCTGTGTCATCTTTCCTTGGTGCCTAAACTCCTGGGATCCATTCTTTCCACCCCTACAGGTTCGACTCAACCTCAGTGTTGGTGTCTGTCCTGACTGTAGTGATGTCCCATCTAAGTGACATCACCAGGGTGAAGTTATTCTACATATATGAATTTTCCTGATGACCAAAGCCTACCCCTTTAACTTCTAAAATATTTTAATATACCATCTTTAAAAGAGGAATATAACTTAAGTTGCCTTTAGCAAATGATTCAGCATCGTTATTATACTAAAAGGACATTAGTAGGGTGGTCTCTGATGGTTTGCAGAATTATTGCCCCCACCAGATTTCTCCAGAGTACTGTAACTTTTTTTATGATTCTGTTCACTGGATTCTGGTTATATTAAAAAGGTAACCAGGTAGATTCAGATCTAGACCCCAGTTTGTTCCCACCAGCATATCCAGTGAGTTCCAATGACCTGTTTTCTAACCAGTCTGACTCCAGGTTTTGTATCTGTACAACGGTACGTGGCCTCTGTGTTCCGAATCCCTCTCCTTGTCCTCGCTCACTGCCTGCTTCCAGGATCAGGTGCAGCCTACGCCTCGAGCCCCTTCCTGATCCCTGTCGCCTCTCTTCTCTCCCCTCTTTCTCTGCAGGTCCCCCTCCCAGGGTACATTGAGGCTTACCCCCGGTCACGTTATCAGCAGAACTCTCCCTCCAGGCTGCCTCGCCAGTACAGCCAGCCGGCCGGCATGCACCCCAGCTTGGAGCAGGCCCCTGTGCCCTCCACGGCAGCCTCCCAGCAGAGCCTGGCAGACAACGACCCGTCCGACACACCCCTGACCAACATCTCCACGGCGGCCCTGGTGAAGGCCATCCGGGAGGAGGTGGCCAAGCTGGCCAAGAAACAGACGGACATGTTCGAGTTCCAGGTCTAATGCCTTAGCCCCGCGGGACTGCCAGACTCTGAGGAAACAGTCTTCGGGTTTCTCGAGCCTGATGTGTTGTGACTTGAGGCATACACAATGGGTGAGTCTGTCTCATCCTTAGTTTCTGAAAAAGTGAACAGTGGGACTTCTGGGAAACGGAGGAGACTCTTGAACAACTGGATTCTCGGCTTATTCAACTGATTGTATGTCAAGAAGTCCCTGCTTGGGACCGTATGCTTGATATTCTGTTATATTAAATGTTTGAGCTATGGGTACATTTCCCTATGGAGCCTTAGTCACGAGAGACACTAGCTAATCTCCAGATTCCTGTCCAAGGCCACATTTCAATAAATCGCCAGGAGGCGAAGGACATAGCTCTGTCTTCGGTGACCCCTGCATGTTAACTCTGTTTCTGTGTTAAAGGCAGTGCAGGCGTATGATTAAGCACCAGACTGTACTCTCTCTCTCATCCAGTCATGACTGTAATCGTTAAAATCACCTCCAGTCTGTAAAGGAGGCACGGACTCCAGCCAAGAAACTTGAGTCCTTTTCTTTTTCGAGATTCATACTCAAAGTCAGATGCATCAGATGAAAGTCAGTGCTATCAATGACTGAACCTATAAATAGTCCTGATCCCCTCCTTCCATTAATTAAACAAAGGCCAAGAAAGAGAGGAGATGAGAGGGAAGGACTGATTTGCGTCGACAGGTTTTTGGAAAGGTGTTGTTACATCGCATCCAGTGTACCCTGGAGGTTGGGACGTAACTGAAAGAGAAGCAGCACTAAGAGTGAGTGTTTAGGATCCCACAAAAGAAAAGCAGTTATTGGTGGAGTTTCCTCTTTGCCCTGCAATGAAGATGGCCTGAGAACGAAGCTTCTCTCTCTTTGGGGATAACAAACACATTGACTTTCACAAGAAAATCTCTGTCTCTTCAACAGTGATGTCCAGCCTGGGCTGCCGGGTGATACAGAAGGAACTAGTAACTGATGCCTGCTAGAAGCAGGGAGAGTGGAACCACAGTCCCCCACGCCTGCAGCCTCTGCTTATAGAAGCTTCTGAATGCAGAAAATCTGTTGAATTACATTAAAATGTAAATAACATTTTAAAAAGTGTATGGAGTTAGCCAGTCCCCTCCCTCCCCAACCCCCACGGTTAATGGACACTAGGGGACATTTGCTGAGATGGCAGGACTGCCGACCTTGTGAGGGTGGTATTGCAAGTCACCTGACCCCCCGCACCGGCCATGGTGAGTCAGCCTCTGGAACTCTGGGTGGACAGTGTCTCCCAGCCTGAGGCACCTGCCACAGGCACCTGTCAGCGCAAAGCAAAACACTACTGGCTGCAGGTGGCCTCGGGGGGAAGACACTGGTCCCTTCGCCAGCTTTGGGAGCCATGCACCACAGTGAGGGCTCCCTTGGTGTCTGTCAGGGAACGAGATCCTGTCCTGCCTTCACCCAAGGTCATTGCCGCTTCAGCTGTATCCATTCCCTGAGCCCATCTTTCCATTCTCATGAGTTTCTTTGGTCTTTATTGAGGGAAGGGGGAAGTTAAATGTTGAGAGAAGAGTAGGAGAGGAACTGATTAGAACAGGAGATTCAAAGTCAAAGCACAGACTTTTCAAAGAAGCTGTTTTTATTTCCCACTGGCAAATTGCCCTTTCGGAGGTGTGTCATGGAATCCCCAAACAAGTCTCTTGTTCGGATGATTTTAGGTCGTGTCTTTTGGTATGCTGATTGATCTTTCATAGTGTTAGTGTTTTGTTACTTCAAAAAAAAATCAGCTATAAATAAAATGTATTTTTGTAATTTCCACGTGTATATATGGTATATTTCTACCAATGGCCAGTTGTTGTAATCCAAAACCTAAATCAGCTTGCAAAACACTGTGGACAGTGCAAGATTTTATCGACAGATTAACACAACACCTAATTCTATCCAAATTGGTATTCAATGCACTTGAATGAACAAAGAGCCAAAGAAACTCAGCCTTTCCATGCAAATGGTATGAGTCTGATAAAGTCAGCTACATTGTCCCGCCTTATCAATAATCTTAAGATTTCATCAGTGCAATGACATTCAACCCAGTACTTTGTCTACTCGGTAAATGCCTGGAAACATTGTATGTGAAAATGGAGTTTTAAGACCTTAGTGTAATTAAACTATATGCACATGCTTCAACGATAGTGTCTGAGCTTTGGGTGTGCCAGTGACTTACGGAGAGTGAAGCTGCAGCCCCAACTGTCTAGGCGGACGGAGACAGAAATCACTGCGGTCTTTGCAGAGCCCCACGAAATCCTGAGTCAGTCAACGGAGACAACTAGAAATATAGCATGCTCCATCAGACACTCCCTCAAACTAGACACCACCGGTTTAAGAAAGTCGATGGGAGGAAACCTTACATTGATGAGGTCAGCCTGTTCGTGGATTCCCACCAATGGGGAGACAGATGCCATTGTTTGGTATTCTGTGACTGAGATGTGGTCCCCTCTCTGAAGAGTCTCCTGGCCTCATGGAGGTGACAGATACCTGGACAGCTGGCTCTAAGAAAAAGCAAACGGTCAGAAGTGCCTTGTGGAAGTTAAAATAGAGTTCCATGAGAGCTCAGAGGTTTGTGTTCCTCGTGACCCTCCAGACAGTTGAAGAAGCCACAAGGACCCAGACGACCTTGGAGAAGGAAGCCAAAGTCCTGAGAAGGAGAATGGCCTGCCCAGGGATTCCCACCCAAGCCTCCTGAATTCATGATCCAACTTGCTTTCCATGTCACCATGCTGCCTGCACACTTGTCCGTGGTTTTTGAACGATGCTAGGAAGTTTAAAAAGTAGCCAAGGGTCATATGAGGCATTCCTTATGCCCTCGTGAAGGAAAAAGATGATAGAGTAGGTAAAGAACTTCAGATGAGCATATAGAGGACAACACATTTGTGGTGTAATAAACATTTTTGGAACCTTTGTACTTTCAATGTGAGTTTTCTGCATTCTGAAAAGAAACGCATTTTGCCTTTTTCTAGAGAGTGCCATCAAGGGAATGGGATTCTCAACTGATGATCAAGCTCGGGATGGATTCCTGTCTTAGTGCCGCGGATCTAGACAGGCAGCCAGGGGGGCCATGACAGCTTGTCATTGTGAGGTAGTAGATTCCGGGTCCTGTTTGGGGAGGCAACCCTGGGGCTGCAGGAGAAACTCTGTGTGTGTTCCCTGGTACCTGTGACCTGAGATGGCGGTGTTACCTACGGAGCAGAAAGTTGCCTCTTTCCTTGTGTGCTATGGACTGAATGTTTGTGCCTCCCCTCCCCCCAGCCACACCAATTCATATGTTGAAGTCCTAACCCCCCAGAGTGATGGTATTAGAAGGCGGGGCCTTGGGAGGTACTCAGGTTGTGAGGGTGGAGCCCACAAGAATGGGATTAGTGCCCTTATAAAAGGGATGCCCCTCTCCCCAGAGAGCTCTCTTGCCCTCTTTTAGAAATAAATTTCTATGGTATATAAACCACACACTGTGGTACTTTGTTACAGCAGCCTGAGCTGACTAAAACAGGGTGGGTTATGTAAGAATCAATTCTCTGGACTCTGGACCCAGGAGAAGTTATATGGTATATTATATGGTGCATTCAGCAGAAGGACTCTCAATTTCTGAGTAATCTTGATGGAAGAATGAATAGGAAATGGTTAGATTTGTCTTTAAAAGTATAAACTTCTGAGAGGAAATACAGGTGGAGGAGGAGAGGAATTTACATGCCTGACTAAAGGAAATGCTTCTGTAACAGGCAGAAATTAGGGACATGGATCAAAAGGTTTAAACATTGATTACAGATAAATAAGCTGCTGTTTCCCCCTATAAAGCGCGCAGGCACTCCATGTTTAATGAATAAAATAACAGATGTTAGCTTAACAGTTTGAGAACAGAATTTAAACTTAATCCATTCCTTCAGTCACACACCAGAAACTACTTTGGACTTCCCTTACAAAATACACTCACATATCCTTAGGGAAAGACAGTTATTTAGCTTGGAGCAGTGACCAATCAGGACGCAAGAATTAGAGATTGAATTCTGCCTCTGAGTTGATCTTACAGGTATTGTAGGCAAGGAACTTTGCAGGGACTAGAAGCCCATTCACACTTGCTAATTCACACTTTCAGGGGTAGACCGGAGATCCAGGGTTGTTTCATAGAAACAAAACAGAGCTCCCGTGTGGGAAAGGGGTAGAGATAGCGTCTTCTCTTTGGCTGTCGTGTGCTCTCCATATGGGCTTTCATGTCTTTCTCTCTGCCTCTCTGCTCCGTTCTCTCGCTTCCCTTGGCCTGCTAGCTCTCTGTGTTTTCACTGGTAGATGTACAGATGAAAGTCCACCCTCAGATCCACTCCACACAATCTTTCCTCTTTAATAGCCATCCCTCCCTGACTACCATGTCTGTACCCCTAGGGAAAATTCTCCACAGTCTCATCGATCTAGTTCATCTGCCTGTGGATCAGGCACCCTTGGGTCAGGTGTCTGTCCAATCAGCTATAACCAAGGAGGACAGGGTCATGTGATAGAGCATGGCTCCCTGGACCAGCCCTCTCATTGAGGGCTTTTGTTGGGGGCTAGTACTCAGATGAGGGCTCATGAGGTGAAAGGACCTTCAGAAGGAACCTGCTGTGGACTGGAGATGACTGGTACTCCTAGGATGCCAGCCTGCAAGTAAAGAGTCCCTGCGGATACTGGGATACTGCAGCAGAGAGGAGAAGGCATCCTTGACTCGTGCATCAGTGAAACATGCATGAGCTGGAAACCTTGGCAGACTGGCCAGACCTGCCCCAACTACTTGCCACCCACCACCAGTGCTACTGATACTGCTGCTGGGTCTAAGACGGGATTTCTTACCAAGGCCCGATTAGCAAAGTCTTGCTCAGCAGACGATAAATACTTGTAAATTGAAATGCATGATCTCAGCTCAGGTGCTATTAACGTGGCTCAGGGCCACACATTTGCATGGATGAGAAAACCCATGAGCCTCTCAACAGAGTCTTTGGAAACAAAATTGGTTTCCAGAGAAATTGATTTTCTCGTGGCTCTGCCCTTCCAAGTATAAGTTAGTGTTCCCTAGAATGGAAAGGTCTCTTGATTTCTTAAGGTGAAACGTTACAGAATCCTAGTCTGTGCTAAGTGCTAACATGTAGGGCGTTTCTGGAAAGGTGTATTTATGAAATAGAATGAATAGTGCTAGAAACAAGTGTGAGGATATTAAGTTGCTATGATTATGCAGGTCTGAAAAACAGAGAGATTTGGGAAGTGGCAGAATTTGTTTCCATAGGTCAAACCCACACTTCAGCAAAAGCCATTATACAATGAAATCTAGAAATCAATTACTTTCATTCTTTGACCTTGACCAGCCTTTTGTAAACTATGGAAGGAGGCCATCAATGGATTTTATGTTAATTAACTGTCGCCTCCCCTTATTTCCCCCCATCTTTACCTGATGCCTAAACTCACCCTCAGCCCACACACAAAATGAGAGCAGGTTTGTAGCAAGCAATCAGAGGAGTATCATTGGTCTGGAAATGTTGAAAAAGGCATAATAAATGGTCAAGGCCTTGGTCAACGCACTGTAACCCAGTCTCTGACTCCTTATCTGTGAAATGGGTATGACAACGTCAGCACTTCCTACCTCCAGTGGTGTTCGTAAGGAGCGTGTGGCATCCTGTATGTAAAAATGCTTTGAAAAGTGTATTCTTACTAAAGCATTTGCTGCATAATTCCGTTTTATCGAGCAAAATATGTTAGCTCCTTCCAGCCACTGAACTAATGTGCTATACCATTTTTAAATTTTATATTCTATTAAAAAATAAAAAAGATGTTCCTAAGTTTGGAAGTGCTCACAAAAGCCAGCCTCACCTGGAGCCGTGTTGTGTTGCTGTCGTGTGTGATTTGAAGGATACGAAAGTACTTGTACGTGGGCTTCTGGGTGGAAAACCCAGACTGGCGACTCCTCACCAACCACATGAGACACGCTGGGCAAAGACAAGTACTGAACAGGAGCTCTGACTGTAGCTGTTGTCATTAAAGGCTTTGCTTTCTAACTAACTTTGTATGTCCTTGGCCTCTGCCAGGAATAGAGTGTTCTTACGCTGTCAGAATTTTTTTATTGTGAAATAAAATGGCAAAGGCTTTCATACCCCAAAACCTGCCTGCTTCTTATTCTGCCTCCGCCAGACAGTGAGATGGAGTCCCTTCACCGTCCAGCTGCCTAGCAGGGCCTGTGGGGTGCTGGGAAAGAACGCTTACAGGCTTGGCAGACCCCATGTGGCCTCCAAAGCCATCGCAGCCTGCAGCATGAGCCAGTTGGCCAAAAAGAGGTCACCCCTGGCCTTCCCCGGGTCCCGGAGAAGCAGCCTATCCGTGACCGTATTCTTGGGGAAGAAAAACCCAGTGTCTGCTCATGTGCTTTTCTCAGAGCATAAAGCAGTCCCATCCAGGTCAGTGGCTGCCAAGGAGTCCAGGGATGACATGGTATGGGACACACACTCCTGAGACCACTTACCTCCCCGACCTAGTGCTGCTCCCCGCAATCACTATGTCTGTCTTATGTTCAGCCCTATCCAGGGACCATATGTTATACTGCATGCTCAGCTGCTCGCCTAAGCTGAGTGGACAAGAGAGACACCCGACCCAAGAGCTACACACATTCATAGGGTGACCAGCCACAGAAAAATGTGGTTTAGCACATGGGGTAACTAAGCGGTTCCCTGTTCTTCCATGTTCTTATCTTACCCCCTGGACCCTGGCTGCTCTTATTTTTCAGGACAAATGAAATGATCAAGGGAAAGGAAGTGGTGGTGCCTACTTCAGTCCCAGGCATGGCAGGCAGGCAGACCCAGGGAGCTGGAAGAGACACCTGGCAGCTCCAGCCTCCTTGTTAGGTCCCCACCAGAAATAGGAGAGCAGCCCTGGCTGGTGTAGCTCAGTGGATTGAGTGTGGGCCTGCAAACCAAAGGGTCACTGGTTTGATTCCCAGTCAGGGCACGTGCCTGGGTTGCAGGCTAGGTCCCCAGTCAGGGGCAACCACACACTGATGTTCCTCTCCCTCTCTTTGTCCTTCCCTTCCTCTGTCTCTAAAAGTAAATAAATAAAATCTTAAAGTCCTTTCAAGAATCAAGACTAGATTTCTCTGAGTAAATGTGCTGCATGAGCTCTGCTGGCTTCTGGAAGTCAGAAAGAACGTGCCTAGGAAGGAGTGTGGACCACGAAATGAGAACGCAAGTGAGGGTGCTGTCAATGGTCCATTACCTATGAAATGTGCACAGATGGTTAGTGTGGAACATACTTGCTTTGACTCTCTCCACGACCTCTTGGAGGTAGTTACAATAGTTACTGGAGGTACCACATCGTACCTCCAATACTGGTTTGCACGGTTGGGCACTTTATCTTAACAACATTTCAGTTTGTTAAGATAACTTGTTTGCACTTGGACACACCCATATTTAGGGAGAAGCCATCTGACTCCTTGGACCTGAAGTAAAGTTTTGTTAGCATGACAGTTTCTGCATTGACCTCTCCTCCAAGCCAAAGAGCTCTGGCAAACGCTTGAAGGTAAAAGCACTCCTGGTCGCCTAGTCTCTGAAATGGGCTTATATGAGCTGCTCTGGACTCCGATGGGCCTTCACTGAACATATACAAGAGCTTGCTTTTGCCCCTGGTGCCCACTCCATCACCCACTCCTGGTGGCTAAGGCCTTTGGGAGACCCAAGGGCCTGTGAAAGCCACACCCCATGAGGCCACATCCCAGACACACCAACACAACCTAATAAAAAGGCTGCCTTTTTATTAAGGCACCCAGATGCCTTACCTATGGGACATTTGGAAACAGTTGGGTTTGGGACCTAAGGTCTACCAATGAGCCGGATGTTGGACGGGGATTCTCTTGTTTCATCGTGGTCTGCTAGGATTCCTGGAGGCAAAGCGCCAAGCTGTTTGCCTGCTCCTGCAGAAGTCCATTTTCTCAGTCATGGCAGCATCTGCAGGAAGGGCCTAGGGAGTCTTAAGACTGAAAACAAAGCACTACCAAATTGCCCAAGTCGCTTCACATATTAACAATCAGGTGCTTTGGGAACTAAAAGTTTGTTTCTTTTTAAAATAAGGTTTTGTCTCTCAAACTGGTAAGTCCCATAAAGGCCTTCTGCCCCCACCAAGGACCCACTCTTCAGAATGGGTTCGGGTAAAAAAGAATCAAAGGCCAAGACTGGAAATCGGATGCTGGGACTGAGACGTGAGGCCGGCAGAGGGGCAGCGGGGCTGTCTTCCTGCCAGGGGCGGGCATGTCTGCCTGTGGTTTTATCCCGTTAGTCATTAATCTTTTATTTGACTGACTCTGCACAGGGAAACCCTGATAGAACTTTCCACAGAGCCATCCATTCGGTTCTTCGTGGGCCGAGCAAACATTTCCCGAGGACCTACTGTGCACCAGGCACCATGCTGGGTGATGAGGATTCAACAGCGAGCAGGCCACAGGGTACCTGCCCCTCACAGAGTTCAGGGTCAAGGAAGATCGATCCTTGAGACACCAAGCCCAGCACAGGAAGGGCTCACCATTCATTCAATGCTTTTTCTACCTCACATGAGCCAGCCCAATAGGACAAAAGTCCCCTTCTTTTTGGAAACATTTAGGTTTAGAAAAGGACAGACTTTGCAGTTTTGTCTTCTGACTAAGCTACACAGCTTTCCTTCCCAATGATTTTTATCCAGTTAATAAGGTGCCCATAGTACCCCACGGGGACAGAGAACAAATCGCCCACTGCCAAGAATCAACAAGCGTTGCAAACCCACACTGCAGAGCTGTCCCCACCAAAGGAAACCCGGAGCCCATACTGTAAGAGGAGGAAAAACCAGTGTGGGAATTATATATGTACTATGCAATCTGAATGAAAACTTTAGGAAACATATACTTTATGAATGAGACCACAGTACACCGAACACTCTCAATTTTGCATTATTTCAGTAAAGTGCCATTCAGAAGGTACTAGATGATTAATGAATGGGTTTTGGTTTTTATTCGGCTTCTGAAATATAGTGCCCTGTGGAGCAACTCAGAAAAGGTGAACCAGGTGGAGCTAGGCTGGAACAGCACTGCTTTGCTGTTTTACTCTGTTTAGCTTAAGTGAACTTGTGGTTGTTTTCTCTTGACAAATTTGCCTATGATATAAAGCATATTGTCTGACTGGTAATTTTCCTTCCAAGGTGTTAGTGGATATTTGTGTTCATGTTTTATCTTTTTTCTAGGTAGAAAAATAATAGAAGAGGGATAACTAGGAATACACTGTAAATACTACCATGGACTGAATTTGGTCTCCCCACCCCTACCCTCCAATTCATATGTTGAAGCCTTACTCCCCAGTGTGTTGAGATTTGGGATGAACAGGTTTAGACCAGGGTCTCGAGGGCGGGGCCCTAGTGATGGGATTAATGTCCTATAAGAAGAAGAAGAAGAGAAACCTGGGCTCTGTCTCTGCCACGTGAGGACACAGCCAGAAGGCAGCATTTACAAGCCAGGAAGAGAGCTCGCACCAGGAACTCAACTGGCTAGCACCTTGATCTTGGACTCCCCCAACCTCCAGAACTGTGAGAAATAAAAGCCTGTTGTTTAAGCCATCCCGTCTGTAGTATTTTGTTATAGCTGCCGGAGCATACCAATACAGATAATATATTCAATCCAGCTTATTTTATTCATGTAAACTGGGTTTTTCATCTTTAAACTGGTTCCGAGGAGCGATTGCCCCCGTGCAAGTGAAACGTGGCTCTCCAAGGGCAGCCACCTGCAGCCTCCTGGCTGCACCTGTGTTTATCTTTGCAACAGCTGCCTTTAACGGCCACAGTGTCTCCTCCCCCCAGAAGGTTTCCAACTTGGATTTTCTTCTGGATAATAACAAGCAAGCTAATAAACGTCAGCCCTGGATGTGAGAGGACAAGAAAGGGGGGAGTGGGCTGTTTCATCCCACATCTAAATCCATGCTGCCATCTGGTGGATCCCACCACGAGACACACAGGAGGATTTTGTGTTAAAGACCAGAAACCTTGATGCAAATTTGCCCCGCAGACCCTAAGGGACAAATGATGGTGCTGTGTGTCAGGTCATGGGCTGAGCAATTGACACATTATGTCAGTTCATTCCCAGAAACCCAGGTGGGGGGGTTATCATGCACTTTTTCTGACGAGTTAAGGGGCTCAGACGGGTTCAGAACCTGCTTTATTAAAAGGACAATTGGATGAATCAATGAATGAACAAATGAGTAAATGAATGCAGGCTTAATTCAGGAGCAATGTTTTTAGTTCTAGAATGTTTATGCTATATTCAGATAAACTCTCAGATGACATTAATAATCTGAGTTTGCAAAGGGACATGAGACAGGCCAGTAAGCCAGGACAAGTGGAATAGGGAAACGGAGAGAAACAACTGAGCAAAAGGGCAGAGCAATTTATAGCCAGAATATAAAAACATCATATCCCTAGAGATAACATCTAGGCCTCCTTGTATTTCAGCTCCAGGCCCAGAAAAGCAGTAAAACCAGTTGGGCAACTCAGACCCAGCTGCAAGGACTAAGGACCCCCTGCCCTGGCACCAACCAATCATTGCAGACCCCAACCCTGAAAGGGGCACACCTGGAAAACTAATGGGTATTCTGCTGAACCCTCCTTTGAGATTTCCCCTTAAAATTCCCACCTGCAACAGAGATAAAAGGCTTTCCTTCTGGGGAGTATCCTGAGCCATTTCCTTCCCCTCTCCTTCTCCTTCCCCCACAGGCACACATCTCCTAAATTCTAAGGATCTCCAAGAGATTTGCAACCAGGGGAGCAATGGGCAGCGGCAGCTCATCGCAGGCTAATCCCCTGCACCTGTCCCCAAGGCCCCCTTGCCTCTGATTCCCCAGTGAGCTAAGGCAGCCCAGCCTGGGCTCTCCTGTTGTTTCCTCTATGCTAAGCCCTTTCTTGTTTTACTGTCTGCAGCTTTAGTAAATGCATCCTCATAGTCACCTGGGCTTGTGCCGTGAAATCTTTCCTACATGAAGTCAAGAACCCATACACTACCAGCTAGCCCTAGGTAGACCCACTCAGGACCAGGTGCCTTGCCTGATAACAGACAGGTGGGGTAGCTAGTCCTTTTTCCTCTTTCCAGGAGAATCATGTTGAATCATCCACTGATTATAAGACCTTTCCTGTTCTGCCTCTGTTATCAGGCAGGTGCCTTGCCTGATAACAGACAGGTAGGGTAGCTAGTCCTTTTTCCTCTTTCCAGGAGAATCGTGTTGAATCATCCACTGATTATAACACCTTTCCTGTTCTGCCTCTCCTCTCCCCCAACCTGTAACCTAGATCAAAGCCAGCTAATGAGTCACTCCATTGTGGACAACTCACATGGCTCCTCTGAGTCCATTAGTACATAAGTTATGAGGAAGCTGGCTGAAAAAGGTAGGAGAGGGAGGCAGGTGCGACAGGTGTATGAAGTGAGAGATAGAAGATCAACCGCCTGGGCTTCTGGTGGCTCCCAAGCCCTGGTGCTAAGAGGCGTGAAACCCCTGAGGAGACATGTGATGTCTTTGTCTGTAGTGGCTTCCCCCACTCCAAGCGCTTCCGGTGGGGCTGCAATCATAGGACCTGGCCACCCATCCCCACCAGGGACACACATGGGCGTGTAGCCCAGATGAGCCAGTCACATTTCCTCTCCAAGGAACGCTAGCTGGAACTGAGCTGTCCAGCGGCAGCTCACCCTTCCTTTCCTTCTGAAGGTCTGGAGGCTTCCCTTTCCTGTTTCTCCTGCATTCGATTCTCTTGCTTATGGACAAAGAACCCTACTGTTGGCCACTCTTGTTATTCAAGTAAGCTAGTCTGAGTGGCCTTCTTTTTCCTCTCCACCCAAAGAGCCCTTACAGTAGTGATTTCTCAGCTGTGTATCACTGATGCATTTCCTGGATTTCTCTCCGGTCACTTTGCCTCCATCACTGCATAGGTACCTTCTTGGCTGTGCTGATGCCCTGGTGTGGACAGGACAAAAAGGACTGTGTGACAACTAAAGCCCTCTCCTTGGGGCACCACCTCCACAGAGGTTGTGCCCTTGGCCTTGCCTGTCTGACGGTGCCTGGGAGGAAAGTGGCCAGCCCTCTCTAGAAAAGAGTCAGCCTGCCTCCCAGCCAGGCTCACTCACCCCCAATCACCTTTGTGAGGCTGAGCTCTGGGCTTTACAAATTCAAGGCTTCTCCCTGCAGCTCATTTCCTGTGGTCCCCACCCTTCCATGCACCAGTAGTTCAACAGTGAAGGCTGTGTCCTCACCACACTGGAGAATAGCACCAATGACTCCCCGCTGGGGGAAGTTTCACATCACTCTACTTGTTGACCCCACCGAACCACCCTGGGAGAGCAGCCAGTGTCTCCATTTTACAGAGGAGGGCACAGACTCAGAGAGGTTAAGTAACTTTGCCAAGGTCACAGACCCGGTCCATTACAAAATCAAGATGCTGTTGAAAGGAAGAGGGCAGCGTTCTGAGGCGCCAAGGTGGTGTTTGCCTGCAAGGAGCCGGGAAGTCTCGCTACGGGGATTTGCTCTCTCCTCCTCTTCTGAGAAGCCAGGCCCCTGCCGGCTGGCGCTGGCTGCTGCCTGACCCCTTTGGCCACAGAGTGGGGCGCAGACTACTTAGATAAGGCAGTGGGAGGTTTTCCTGTCACTCTTGAAATTTGTATTTCTCTGAAGAAAGGGTCATGATATAAATAGCTGGTTCCAGAGACTATCAAATTTCATATTCCATCTTGGGCAAAACAGCTGTCACTGCAGAGGAGGGACTTCAGTCCTCCCCCCTGCAGGCTGTTACCTCTGCCCTACTCTACCCTAATTTCCCGAAAGTGACAGTTGCTAATCAGATTGGTCAGGGTCCAGGACATTCCCTGGGCATTGCTTCCTCAAGGGGCGGGCTTACTCCACCTGCAGAGCCAGTCCACTGAGCTCCCAGAGAGCCCATCACAAGCTGAAGCCTGCCTTCTTGAGCCCTGCCCCTCCTCTTGCCTGTCAGTAACTGAGTGGGCAAAGGAAGCCAGAGGAAGCCGGCAGCTTCGCTGACACCTTCAGCTCAACTTGGAAAGCTCCAAAGCAGCTTCCCCCTTAGCTCAGTTAGAAATGAAGTGGTACTTGGATTCCTTTTTATCTGGTGGTGTACTAGTGATTGTTTAACAACCAAGGGAGGGGGAAGGAACAACTCTGATTTGCACATTTGCCTATTTCCACAATGTGGATACTGCCATTGCAGCCAGTTTCTAGTTACCGATCTTGTGAGCACCGTGGGGGGTGGAGTGGAGGCCACTGGGACTCTGGGCAGGGAGTGGGAAACAGGCCCACACCAGGTCACTCTGTCTCCACCCGAGTTAGGCACTGGGCATTCCTGATGCCCGAGTTATTCTCATCAAGATTCTCCAACCCCTCACTGGGCTCACCAGCCTCAAGTTTTCTGGAAAAGCAAGCATGCTGCTGTAATAATGACCAACCTGGGGCAACGAAAGGGGAGGCGGAGCCCGGAATCTCTGCTAGGACTCCTGAGGGTGGAGGTTGCAAACTCTGGGGGACCATCCAGCCTTTGTTTTATTTGGTCTGCTTTGTTGGGAAACATTTGAATTCATTGCTAAGATTTAGAAAGCAGGATTTTTTATTGGACACTGTGCCCTCACTCCTGGCTGGACGACAGGTAGCTGCAGCTGGTTATCAGTTACCCCCCCCACCCCCCGCCCCAAGTCTGGCAGTGCCCCGCAGCCTGCCAGTCTCCACCTGGCTCTGCACTGTGGGTCAGAGCAGGCCCCACCCCTCAGCCCCTCCTGCACTGGGCTTCAAAGACACCTGACTCATTAGCCACTCCTTTTCATTCTTCTTTGCAAGAAGCCCACACTTCACAAATCCTTTAGCTACAGTTGCTGCTGGTATAGTGAAGGCACAAGGGTGTCTAGATGGCACACTTCAAAATGTTATACTTGATTGAAGATTTGTTTCATAAAATACTTTTTCCTTTACTTGTGTGCATGTGTGGCTGAGATCTCACTCCTGCTCCTCCTCACCTTGGAGACAGCACTTGGCAAGTCGGGGCGGGGTTGGTGGTGGCAGCAGGTGCCCCCTAGACACCTCTCATTAAGCAAGGGGAAAGGGCTGGCAGGGCTGCACTGTCACTTCTCGCTTAGCTGGATTATTAATTACTACAGCCTCCTAACTGCTTTCCCTGCTCCCTTCCTTAGTCTGTTCTCAATCTACAGCACAAGTCAGCCCCTGTCACTCCCTGGCTGGAAACCCTCTAACCACTCCCCGCCCCACTGGGAGTAGAACGCTGAGTCCTTACTGCGGCTGTGAGGTCCGACATGAATGGCCCCTCTCTGCGAGCAGCCCTGCTGCTGTCCTCTCACTCCTCCTGCTCCGGCCATCTGGGCTTTTGGCAGACCCTCACATATCGTAGTGTGCCCCCACCGTCACTCTTTGCACTGGTCCTCGTGCCTGGAGCATTCCTAGGATGCCACGTGTCTATGACCCTCAACCACCTTCAAATCTTGTTTAAATATTACCTCTCCAAGAAACCGTATTTGAAATTCCACCTTGCTTTCCTCTGACCCTCCTGACTATCCTTACCCTACTCTCCATCTTCCCCTTTAGTATGTTATTGTAGCAGTGATTGAAAATGAAAAAAACAATATGCTAATCAAGTAATAATTACAGAATAGGTCGTACTAACAGACTCATAGAAAAAGCATATACTAAAAGCTTCCTTGTGAGTAATTTGTAGGTATTAGCAGGTGCAGCTCCTGCCTGATAGGGAATGACCCTGACAACAAGTCCTGGACAAATGCCAGCAATTCCTATCAGAACCAGCAGAAACGTGTACTGCGTGTCCTGCTGCTGAACACCAGTGATAAAACTGGAGGTAGAGCGATGGAACTACATGATGGCACATGCAGAAGGTGACAGTGAGACCACCCGAGAGCAAAGCTGAGAAACTGCACATCGCCAGAATTTCCTTAGCATCCCCCTGACCACAATTCCCCTATATAACCTGGCCAGCATGCCTGAGATGCTGAGATAGTTTGGAAGGCAGAAGCCTGCCCTCTTTTCAGGTTGTCGACTCCTGAATAAACCCCTTTCCTTCTCAAGCAGTACCTGCCTCGTGAGTTTGACCTTCACGGCAGCAGGCAGTGGACCTGTGGGTCATTCTCCTGATTTCATTATCGTCTATGATACTGTATTATCATTTCCCTATTTATAATATCACCTGTGTCTCCCCCACCTCCAATCACAAGAGCCCAGGAGGGTGCCTGGCACAGAATAAGCTCTCAATAACTACTTCCTGAATATATTAATTTCTAGGAAGGACTGGGGCTTTGACAAGATTATCAAAGAGTTTTGTGGTCCAAAAAAAAAAAAAACCCACTGCAAAACAAAACACTTCCCAAGACTCACACCATTGGAAAACAAACCCACTCTTCCAGTCCTTCAGGAGCCTTTCTGAGCAGGGACACAGTAACAGGACCAAGTGTATATTGCCCTTGGTTTTCCCCAATTCCCTCCTGCCTTGGTAGTGTGGGGAGTCCCCCTCCCCTGGTTTTGGGACCTCCTGAATGCTGGCTAGGCAGCAGCTTCCATACCCCACAAGAGAGCACCCCCCCCTTTCCCAGCAGCAGCACAGAGAGGAGAGAGACCACGAGGTTTACCACGTAAGTGGGCACTGTATGTGGAGTGCAGGCTGGAAGCAACAAGAACAGCAGTAAATACAGAACAGAAAATAACAATCTTTGAAATGACAACAAACAGGACACATTATCTAAGCACTAACGCCTAAGGAGATGGCTACCCGGACTCTGTGGGCAGCTCCTCAGGAGAGAGAGGCTGACTTCTTTCCAGGCTGCCTGGTCTTCAGTCCTTGTAACTTTTCATCTTTCAGCGCCTTCAAGAACTTATCTGCAGGAGAGCACAACAAACTCAGCTGGAGTAGAGATAAGGCTTCTTCTAACACTACTAAAGAAATTATGTGTTCCTTACATGAGCCCCAAACCCATTATGGTTCAACATAGGTGAGGGAAAAAAAAATCCCTGATAGCCAAAACATGTGTAAGTGGAGAATACGTGGTTGAGAAATTCAGAACTTAGAAAAGTCCAAGTTTTCTAAGAACTGTTTCCTTCCCCTAGCTATGGGGAAGGGGGCATTACGAGGTGTATAATGAATTAGGACCCACAGCCACCTAGACCTAAACATTTAGCTTATTTCATAGCCTGCTTCCCAGTGTGGTGGTAGCAGGGGGAGGGGGCAGTTTTACCTGTTTTATGCAATAATGAAGATGCTCTTTCTAGAACCATCTGCCCTCCTCCAGTGGTCAAGTGCTAGCCTTAGTCAGAACAGGTGATGGGAAAGACAAAGTCTGCAGAATAGCCTATGGCTACTGAATGTTCTACAATGCAATAGGTTCTCCAGGAGAACAACTGAACTTGGTAATTTTACTCTCCAACAGGGAGGATTCAGTCTGCTTGCATTCTAAAGGAATCCCACCCACATCAGCATGGTAAAAATGCTGGTCTGCCCTGGTAAAAATCCCTAAGACTTCAGCCCTAAAATCAGATGGCAAAGTCCAGGACCCTGGTGAAAGGGCTACAAGATGGCGGGGGTGGGGGGATGGTCACAGGGAAGCTACCTTATAGCTTTGAGAAGTGGAGGGTCGGGAAGCCCCTCAATGAATGTCCATGGGCCTCCTGGGTCTTGCACAATTCCCATCTGCCCCTTACAGACACCCCAACTGACTTTCACCTACTTCCCCTACCTTCCTTGCGAGGACCCGGGTTTAAGATCAACACTAAATCTCAGGTCTCTAGAGGGAGGGGCTGTCTGGGGTGGGTGGAGCTCCAGGGGTGGTAGTATTACTGTGTAGGAGGTTTAAAGTTCAGGCTAGGGGTGGTGGTGGATGGAGTTCCAGGCTTGGGGCTCAGAGTCCAGATTATGGAAAGGGCTCACAATGGAGTTTGGGACAAAAGGATCCATGGGGAAAGGAGTCGGTTGAAATCTAGGATGGGGGATTGACTTGGGATCTGGGACTCTTGGGTGCTGGAGTCTGAGCCCGAGGCCGCATTGCAGGGAAGGGGATGGGGACATGGAGCCAAGGAGGGAGCCAAAGTAGCTAAGGGTGGGCTCGGGAGGCCCCAGGGAAGTCACGCACAGCGCTGGGAGTCGAAGCCGTCCCCAGTGATGGTGAGCAGCTCCAGCTCCTTAATCCGGATCTCCAGCTCGCACAATTCCTCAGGGTGGGAGGCAGAGGCGAGCCGGGAGGTCGTGGGGCATGGGGCCAGGGGCGAGGCAGCCACCTCGGGCCCCGGAGGCGGCGAGTAGAAGAAGCGCAGAGGCTCATAGGGGATGGAGGCCAGGCCAGAGGGCCAGGGCGGGGGACAGGGACGCTCGCTGGGGGGACCCAGGCCGGGTGGTGGCGGCGGAGGCATCGGGGGCGGAGGCATCGGGGCCGGGGACGCCTGGGGCAGGGACCGGCCCCCCGCCGCCCCGCCTGCCTTCAGCGGCACAAAGAGCTTCTTCCAGATGTTGAAGTCGCTGAGAGGGGACGAGGAGATGCCGCGGTCGTAGAGGGAGGGGAAATAGAGGGGAGGGGCTGGCCGCTGACTCATCGTGGGGCTCTGGCGGCCGCGCCGCCCCTTCGGCATCTTTTGAATGGGAGGCTGCGTGGGAGGAACCCCGCGCCGGGGTACTCGCGGATGCCTCGAGTAGCCAGGGTTCTTAGATTCCATAGACCACGCCCGGAGGGAGCGCAGCCCCTCCCTTTTGCCTTAGCCCCGCCCCTAACAGGCGGGGTTCTAGGGTCCGATCGGCCACGCCCCGATTGTGGCCCCGCCCATTGACGGCTGGCCGGGCTGTGGAGTGAATAAAGGGAGTGCGGTTTCCGCTTCGCAGAGCTTTCTTCTTACTCGCTGGACCACAGCACCCCTACTCCTCCTGCCTGCGGCCTGGTAGAGCCCTCAATTCCTCCCACCGCCCCAACTTCCACAAGCCTCGCTCCCGAGCTGTCACAGCCTAACACGACCTCACACAAAAGCACGAAACAGAGAGCTGGCCAAAACTGTAAGAGAAAAACTTCCTTCGGTCGGAACTCTCCTTTTATAGGGAGGGAAAACATCCTCCCTTACGCTCCCGACCCCTGCCCCAGCCGCCTTCGTCTACCACCTCTCCACACAAAGAAGTTTGGGGAAATGAGTGCTGACTTTTCATCCTCTACAGACAAGAGGGCTGATTGAGGATGGCTGTTAGAGCCAACCCATGTTTCTGCTAAGTTTCCGTGTTGTGGGAGATTGTGGAGAAAGCGGCCCTGGTATAGATTTGTAGTAGATCTTAAGGAGAGTGTCTTCAATGAGATGCAGTTTAGTTCTCTTCCAAACACAGTCATGATCAGAAGCTATTAGGCAGCAAACTAACCACCAAAAGGAAATTCTGCTGAACCTACCCCCAATAGCCCACACCCTTTTTCCAAAAGAGACTCCTTTCCGTAAGTAGCCAGTATTAGTCAGACTGAATCCGAACCTACCCCCAATAGCCCACATCCTTTTTCCAAAAGAGACTCCTTTCCATAAGTAGCCAGTATTAGTCAGACTGAATCCGTCAATGCTGCAAATGAACAAAGATGGGTGGGATGAGTTCAGGCTGCTGCCAGTCAGGATCTGAGTCCCTACCAGCTCCACTAGCAAATGCTGTACGTGTGTGTGGGTATAGCAGTAAAGGGAGCCAGATCTTTGAGTAAGCTGTTTGACTTCTAAGTCAATTTTCTGTACAATAGAAACAAGAGAACCAGTCTGCCTCATACAGTTGTTTGTGATGACCAGACAGAAGACAGAACAGTGTATGTGAAGCACTTGGAAACTCGGAAAGTCTGTCCAAATATAAGGGGCACCTATCTCCACGGAGCATCTTGTCTGACACTGAGAAGTTCTTTCTTCCCATATTTAGCTGGACCCAATCCAAGGATCCTATAAGGCTGAGCATATAATAGGACTCAATACATATTTGGGAACTTAAAAAAAATTATTTTATTGATTGATTTGAGAGAGCGAGATCAATTTGTTGTTCACTTGCATTCATTGGTTGATTCTCACGTGCCCTGACCTGGGACCAAACCCACAACCTTGGTGTATCAGGAGAATGATCTAAGCAACTAAGCAACCCAGCCAGGGCCTATTTGGGAACTTTAAAAACAGTGTAATGGGTTGTAGGAACTGAAAGGGATCAGAATATACCACCCCAAAACATGCCCCTTTGGCACAAACATTATTTTAAGTTGAAGGCAATTGAGGAACAGAAGACTTAAGAGGAACTCTCTGTCCTCTCCCTTTCTGCCTAAAAGCTGGGCACAAATTTCCCTTTTTAGAGGCACCATCCATTCCAGGAAGAGGAGGAGTTGACTTGTCACTGGAGATGCCACTGACTTGAGTCTGTATAACAAACTTTACTAAACAACCCTTATCTTCCATACATTCCCCCCATATATTTTCCTTCCCACAATTTACAAGCCCTAGAAGCCCAATCCCCTTTTCCATTGTCTCATCATGGGTCCACAATTCATCACCCTTTGTTAAAATGGTTTATAAATCCTGACTGGTGTGGTTTGGTTGAGTGTCATCCCACAAAGCCAAAGGCCACTGGTTCGATTCCCTGTTCCATCCCCAGTGAGGAGAGGCAACTGATGGATGTTTCTCTCCCTCTCTTTCTTCTTCCCTTCCCCTCCCTCTAAAAATAAATTTAAAAATAGTAATTAAAAAGAAAATAGTTTTAAAAAATGGTTTAGAAGCTCTCACACCTAACCACTTTTTTGGATTTTTACTTCTTTTCTGTAAGTGCCCCCTTCCCATGCATGCATACTAAATCTTGTCACCTGTTAATCTGTCTTTTGTCAGTTCGATTCAAGTGACCTGCTAATCTTTGCCAGATACTGGAAGAGAGTAGGAGAAAAACAACTTTCTTTGCCCCCTACAGAATCATAGTTGTGGTAAGAGCCAGGTTTTTGAGTTCAGACTTGAGACCACACCCTGGATCCACTATGTTCTTGGTTGTGTGGGTGAACCTTTCTGCATCTCAGCTTTTCATCTATATAGTGGGAACGGTAGTGGTACTCACGTGGATTGTCATGATTAAATGAGAGAATCTACCTAGCCATGGTAAATGCTCACTCAGTAAATGTTAGCTCTTGTGATCGCATATATTGAAGGTTCTTAGAAGGGAAAGGAATTTTCCACTGTTTTTTATATGATGCAATACAATCACATGTTTTAACTTGTATATATTGTTGAACAAACTCAAGAAGGAGTCTGTAGGCTTTGACTAGAAATAAATGATACAGATTTATTCAAGGGTATTAGGATTTGCAAACTGGAAACACGACTAGGCAATATGCAGAGTGTTCTGAAGAAGAAAAGAGTTAAGAGTTCTCATAGTAAAAAGTACATCCTTGAGAAGAGTCAGTCCTGTCATTCTTAGCCTCTGGATTTGTCCAAGATAGTAATCCTCTAGATGACTGGTGGTCTGGATGATGGGTGTCAGGATGTCTAGATGCATGCATATTTTTCTCCATCCTTCAGGGAGGAGGGGAGCCAATCAGAGAGTTTTCTGGAGGTTTGACGTATCTCAAATTGACACAGGACTGAAGGCTTCAAAAACTTAAGTTCCCAGACTCGTCAAAACAAGATCTGCTTCCTCATACCTCAACCTACTTGATGTTAGCCATTTGGCAGCGTGACTGCAGTGACTCCATTTTATTTCTTCACTCTGTTCCTCGATATTCATTCGAAGAAAAAAAGCTTCCAGATTTTTTCTGTTAACTGTAGGATATCATAAACATAACATAATCTACCCATGACCACCACATAAGAAACCTCAGTTATCACAACACAAACAAATTAAATCCCAGTTTGGAGATAAAGCCAATATGGCAGTTAAGGCAAAACCTTACAAATGACCAGGAAATGCAAACTGGTGATGAAAAGATAGAACAGGTGTGCATCTGATTTGAACAGAGACTTTCCCTCCCTGGGCTCTAAAGCTCTTGGGTCAGCTGCCTCTCTACTGGAATGCCCCGTCCTGTTGGGTCATGAGTCCTTCCTCCTTTGCTGACAAAGTCAATTGGAGGTTGTGGCTTTAGGTCTCACTGCCAGTTGGGTTTGCTAATCCTGCATCTGTGAATGAGGCCACCCACCCTGCCCCAAGCTCTGTGCAGAGGGGAAGGGCCTTTACTGGCCCAGTAAAAGCAGGCCAAGGACAGGCCTGGCCCTTTCTGCAAACGTGCCGAGCAGAGCAGTGGTTCCTCTGCACTCAGGAGAGGTGCCAGGGATGTCCTTCTTAAGAAATGGGACACAGCAGAGTGGAAGTTCCTCTCAACACTCTGACTCAGACTGTTTAATCTAGGCTGCCTCATTGCAGTTGAGGTTTATAATTTTCCACGGCCACCGCCCTGCCCAATCAGGAGGTCGTGGGAGTACATGGGGTGCGGTTTCGCCTGGTTTCCCCAGCCATCCAACTGCCATAGATAGTACAGAAAGTTTCCTCTGGACTTGCGAAGCTATAACCTATCAAAAAGGACAAAATTTAAAGTTAAGGATAGAAATGTAGGAGTTTGAGTATTATCTGCAGTTTAGCTTTATGGTTCCTTGAAATGAAATCTTAGTCAACAGTCTTTCTTTTTGCAAGTGATAGCCAGATTATTTGTCCAATGGAAGAGTAGATAAGAAAGCTATACTAGCGTTGAGGCAGGAGATAGTCAGGAAGGAAACTCCAGAGGCCCCGCAGGGCTGAGATAAAAAAAACATCCATACATAACAAAGACCCCCTAAGACTGGTTGTTCCTGTTTTCTGGGATAACTCTGAATCATGGAATGTGCCTGGCACTACCCTTGATTCATTATAATAGTATTATAATGAATTAACATTGTGGGACTCCCTTCTCCAGTAGCCAATCAAGAAAATCATGGGAAACCACACATGCGCAGTAGTTTTGAAATCCAACTCCTTGTACCTGTGCAGGAAAAGCCCACCAAAGACTAGCCAGGGAGCTTCTGCCCTATAGGAATAGAATCCCTCCAGCCCATGGGTTCCTTCTCTGCTCAGAGTTGGTCCACTCTCATGTCCTGTGGACTGTACTATCGCTTAATAAATCTTCCCTCTTTCTTTATGCTATAAGCTGTGTGTATTAGGTTCAATTCTTTGTCCTCGGTCATTAAGAACCTGGTTACCTATGCACACCTGTGACAGCGTGACTTAAAGATAGCCATTTTACTTAGATACCTTGGAAACACAAACATCGACACAAGTCCTACAAAGACTGCCCTCCACACCAAGTCATTAATCTCCTTTATCAAATTTACTTTTCATTTTTTAACATTTTATGAAGGTTACTGGGGTGACACTGGTTACTGAGACATGTTTGAAGTGTACAGTTCTATGAGATGTCATCTGTATACTGCATTGTGTGTTCACCACCCAGAGTCGGGTCTCCTCCCGTCACGATGTGTTTGACACCTTTTACCTCTTCCTATCCCCGTTTCCCCTCTGCTGGCCACCAGACTGCCGTCTGCGTCTGTGTGTTTTGCTTCTCCTGTTTGTTCATTTGTTGCTTTCTGTTTCATATCCCACATATGAGTGAAATCACAGGGTTCTTGACTTTTTA